GAAGGGCATGGCTTTGGAATGAGATGGCGTAAATGAACACTTCAGTCAAACAGACCTGGGTGGAAATCATAGCTCAGACACATTTACTATGCCATTCCACAAGCCAGTTGCCTCTTTGGAGACTCGATTTCCACATCTTTTAATCGGAGGCATTTATACCTTCCTCTGAAGACTGTTGCAAGGGTGAGAGCATGAATGTAAAGCTTATAACCCAATGCCAGACACAAAGCATGAGCTGTCTCACTAAATGACAGCCATTAGACATCCCAGCTTCCACCTCCTGCCATTAGTTCTATGAGATTCCTTGTACACCTATAATAAACTTCCCCTCTACTTGAGCTTCTTGGAATGGGTTGCTGTCCCTTGGAATGAAAGGCAGGACAGAGTCTGATTCAACCCTGCATTCCCCATAGCCCCTTATGCAGGGTAGGTACCAACAAATGCTTCCTTCAATATTCATTCCACAGATATTTATGGAGCAACAATTACAGGCCCTGGGCTAAGCATTGTGTCAAGAGTGGTAAACAATTAGACATGACTCCTCCCCTGCCTTGAGCAGGTTACAGTCTAATATAAATAAATATCACCCACTGTGACCTGTGAGTGCCATAAAGGAAATGAACAGAGGTAAGTTGAGAGTAACAAAGGACTCACTTAAACAGGGTGGTAGGGAAGTGACACTTCAGCAGGACTCTTGTAGGATGAGTCAGCCATTCAAGTGCAGAGACAAAGAATGCTGCAGGCAAAGGCCCTGAGGTAGGAAGCAGCTCAGCTGCTCCAGACACTATGAGAAGGCCAGTGGGCTAGATGTTGTGAATGATGGACCTGGATGAGGCTGGAGGGGTGGCAGGGTCATTTTATGCAGGACCACATAGGTCATAATCAGGAGGCTGAATTTACTATGAGCGCAATGGAACCCTACTGAAGGAAAGCACCATTCTCTGATTTACAGATGTGAACAGACCGAAGAGGGACAAGACTGCAAGAGGAGAAGGCTGCTGTCAAATGAAAGAACGCCTAGAATTAAGAGTTGGCCTGGAGGGGTAAGTAGGAGGACTATCCCTTTTCTGGGGCTGCTTTCAGAGATTGTAAGGCAGCCTGATTCACACTGAGGATTGATTCTGGGCTGGAGGAAGTATCTAGAGCGCCCTTCAGGAGCTGAAGAATCTTTCCCCTCTTCTAAGCTTCCCCTTCCCCCAGTCCCCGG